CTCATTATTACTAATTACGTAAAAACAGATTTCCAGTACTGTTCAGCGTTTGACTTTCTTACATGTTTAAAATGTTGCTGAAGTTTTGTGCTGTTTGCCCAAACTCATGCAATAAATAAATGAAGTATTGTGTTATTTAAAAAAAAAAGAAAGAAAAATCAAATCGTATGGAGGCTGGATTGCCAGTGAGGCTGAGGTGGGGGGATGGGTCGATAAGGAGTTTGCCCAATAGAGACCAATAGGAGCCAGTTTGGAGACATTTGAGAGAGAGCTGCAGGGTTTGCTGAGCCAGGTACTGTGGTGTTGAGGGAAGAGTTTACAATGGTCCCCAGAATTCTACTTGGGGAGAGCAGCTCCACAAAGGTAGAGCCACTAATGAGGGGCAGGCAGCTGTGTGGACACCTATGATGGAGTGATGGGGCTTTGCTCCAGGACACTGAGGTGGAGGGTGTGGAAATGTAAGATGACTGCAACCCAGACACCAGCTGAGGTCAGTCTGCCTATTTAAACCTGGATAAGGCGGATTGGGATTCTCATACCTTGACGTGGGAAAGGTCTTGTGGCCTCCTGTGCCCCGATTTCTGCGAACTCTCAGGTTTAAACTCTTTTAGTCACTTCTCGTTCTGAGCCAACCCCATTTTTGGTCACCCTCAATCACCATGCCAGACTTGTGGTCTATCCATCACCACGTCGACCCAGATGCCCCTTTCTTTGAAGGGAGAAAGCCAGTAATTTGTGCAAGGCCTTGTGCACATGGCAGACGTTATACAAGACTTAGGGAGTTGGATGGGTTTACGTCATGGAGGTGCAAAGAGCAAACTGCACTAAATTACCTCTCAGATCTTCTCATTTCAAAACATTCTTTGGGGCACCTTAAGGGCAGCCTCTTCCCACTGTGGGCATCCTCCCAACTGCCCCTCATTCTCTCATCTTCTTGTTGATATACCCGCTGCCTCCCCACCCCCAATTATTTCAGGAAATTCCAAATTCTTCTCACTATAGCACAGCAAGAGCTCCCTCTCACCCCTTCTGAGCTTAGCTCTAGGCCCATGTTTTCATTTCACAAACCCATCAAATCCATAGTTGAGTAAAAGAGCATCTTGGGATGAACATCATCTGCTGTGCTCAGAGAGTAGTAATTATAGTCACAGATAACATTTTTTCAACATTACATACTTCTAAAAGATTATGGAAAATGTAAAGTACTATCTCCTTGAATTACTCTCTCCCACCTCGTCCCCTCTCCCCCTCCCTGGTGAACTCTCTCCTTTGGTAGCTGGAAACCCAAGGTGAAGAGTCAGGCACCTCCTGTCTGAGGCCCCTTGTCTATGGGTAGGGCTGGCCCTGCTTTTCCGCCCCCTGCCCCCTGGCCCCTCCCCATCAGTTTGAAAGCTGGTTCAGTGCTATTCTCCAGTCTCTCCTGATGACACAACACTTCTGGCAGGAAGGTGTCTAAATTCGGGAGGGGCTGATAGTCTGGGGAAAGAGGGCATTTCTTCTTCATATAGAGCCTTGTTCATAGTGTTCGTCTTAGAACCAACTGGAGGACATCCTTGGACCCAGTTCATCATTGTGGTATCAGCCTCATTTCTTATAACTGTGTCAGGCAGACAGGTCTTTGTTATCTTTCAAGTTCACCCCAGGACACCAAAGGGCCATGGCTGCTGGAATGGGAGGGTCCTGGCACCAGTAACACTATCCCTCTAAGGGAGCGGGAGGGGGTGTGTGTATACGGGAAGCCTTCCCACACACTCCAGGCCATGAGTCCTCTTGCCTGTCTATCCATCCTTCTAGGAGACAAGCATCTGCTATTGTCAGAATCTGCCCTTGGCATTAGGCCTTCAGAGAGGAGTGAGAAATTGTGTCTCCACTGAGTCCACAGTCCAGTGGAAAAAGACTCAAAACATAAATCACTGTAAAGAGCTCCATCTAGGGATGCAGAGGAGGGTCCCCACCGGTTCTCTGGCTGTTAGAACACGGAGGTAGTGGTGTTCCAGATGCAAAGACTGTCCCAGGTTGCCTTCCTCTGCTAGACACTGGGTACACAAGGTGACAGCGTCTGGCCTGGGGCTGCGGCAGACTGGCACAGGCTCTGGCACTGGCACCTCTGACTCCACCCTGAGGCCAATGGGGCATGGCTAATGGGAATGATGGGATTTGGGTTTCATAAAGTACATTCGGCCGCAGAGCAGATGAAGTCCTGGGGCCGAGGGAGCAGTTAGTAAGGAGGCTGGGCTCTGTTTCCAGCCCTCACGCTACTCCACATTCACGGAGGGCAGGCCTATGGCTGCTGTGCTCCCCACTCACTATTCTGAGCCCAGACTCTCATACACTGTGAGAAATCTTACAGAGTGTTATGGACCGAATGTTTGTCTCTCTCCAAATTCGCATGTTGAAATCCTAATCCCCAGTATGATGGTATTTGAAGGTGATTATTAGGTGATGAGAGTGGAGCCCACAATGGGATTAGTGCCCTGGTAAAAGAGACCCCAGAGAACTCTCTCACCCATCTGCCACATGAGACACAGTGAGAAGACAGCATCTATAAACCAGGAGGTGGGTCCTCACCTGACACCACATCTGCCCTTTCCTGATTTTGGACTTCCAAGCCTCCAGAACTGTGAGAAAATAAGAGTTTGCTGTTTAAGCCCCCTAGTCTATGGTATTTTTGTCATAGCAGCCCAAGCTTAGACACAGTGAACGCAGTTCAGAAGTTGAAACAGCTTGGGAAAGGTGGGGCTCCTTGCAGACACCCGCTCTTGGCATCACACACCTGTGCGAGGCGGGGGCGGGGAGGCCCAGGCCTAGCGTGGGTCCCAGGCTGTGCGCCAACAGTACGAGCTGCTGCGCAGGACGCTGCCACACCAGGGACGCAGCCTGCACACCATTCAGGAAGGCTGCGCTTTTTTGCCTGGCGGGGGGGCACCTGGCTCTTTCTGACAGGTGTCATCTTTGATCCTTTGGGCTCTGAGTTCCTGCAGGGGAGCAATGGTCATGGGGGTGGGGACAGGGACAGGGCTCGTCTTTGGGGCTGGAGGACACCCAGATCACCACCTGGCTCACCCGCTACACCGCCCTGGGTGCCCCTCCGAACTCCTGCCTTTACAGTGACGAGGGCAATGGTGAAGTCCACTTGAGGATGGGAAACGGGACCCCGAAGTTCTGTTTTCCTAGGGAAAAAGGAAAATAACACTTGGTCCAGACCAGAGTTTGATTGGATTAAAAAAAGTGTATTGGATTTCCAATACTAAATAAAAACATGAAATTGTTTTTCAAAAAGCCATAGAGTTTACAGCATCAACTACAGAAAAGGCCAAACAAGTGTGTACAGAAACTAGTCCCCAGCAGCCCTCCAGGTCCCCTTCCAGCAGGTGACAAGGCAACAGACACATTTGCTCCAAATCCTCCTGAAGGAAGCTGCTGGTCAGCAGCTCAACTAGGACATTACAAGACACACAATGGTTTAATTTCAAAAATCACAGGAAAATGTAAGAAAATGTATTAAACTGTGAAAAGGTGCAATACAGAATAACTTTCCCTTTTCTTAATTTAAAAAAATCCCCCAACTTTGAACAGTTATTTAAAAATAGGCCCCTCACCCCACCCCAGTTCTGTGGCAGTATCCAGGTACCAAGGCCCTGAGGTAACCGAAGTATCAGGGTTCATGGGAGGGAATGCCCCGAATACCGAGCATGTTTCTTTGGGCAAAAGGTAAGACAGTTTCTGGGGAATCTAGCCCTCCTGGTGTCCAGAGTGTTCTAAGTGCTCTTTTCAGGATCAGTTTAAGTGCACTGCATTTCCAGAATCCGGCCTGGCACTATCCTCCGTGACCAGCTAGCAGGGCAACAGGAGTTCCAGCATTGCACTTTTCATTGCCCCCAGTTGAGAAATAGAGTTCACCTTCTAGAAAAGCAAATGTGTGGTAAGACCTAAATAGGGGAAATAACCAAGGTACAAAGGCAAGTGGGGCGCCTGTGTGGCCAGGGCAGAGCGCAGGCCCCGGGGCAGGCGGGTCCGAGCGCCCACTGGTGTTCTCAGCAGCTGACCTCTTCTTGGCTACAGAACCAAAGCTCAATCCGCCTTCTGCACTGCCTTCCACACTCTCTTCTGGGGATTTGTTGCGGAGTAGGGGAAGATGCCTGAGGGTCAGTCCTGTATTCTTAAGAGATTCTTTATATTAAACAACAAAAAAAATCTCAGCTCCTTACATTTTTAAGAAAAAGCATACAAGAACCTCCTGCAAAGGCAAAGGCTTCTTGTGTGGCCAGCCTCTCAGCACACCTCAGAGACCTCCTGCTGCCCTGTTCAAATCAGGGCCTTAGCTGAGCTGCTGGGATGGTGTGCGGGAGTTGGGGAGGCCGCTGTCCCCATCCCCTGCTACGTACAGAACAATGTTCAGAAAGAAGTGGGGAGCCTCACTGGTGCTGCAGCCCCTGCCTGCTTCATTCTTGCTAACGCCTTCTCCATGGGGCTCTGAGGTGTGGAAGTGAGAGCTGGACTGGCTGAGGACAGGAACTAGGGAGAAGCAAGGAGTCCTACATGGGAACAAAGCTCCCTCCTTAACCTCCGACTTCCCCGAAGGGAACACATGGTAACAGCAGGAAAGGGTCTCTAACCTCTTCTCCGATTTCCCAGGAACTCGGCCAGGCTTGTGCCCTGTCCTGCATCACTCCTGCAATACAGCACCTGACTCCTCAGCGTGGACATTCTTATCAGGATATGACCAAGACACCAGGGCAGCTACATCCTCGAACCCACCTATTGCACAGAAGAAATTTTTAACTAGATCCAAATGAAACTCCAGTTGCAACTTAGTGACAATAGAGATGGACATGCCAGGACAATAAAGAAGATGCTTCCATTCTCTGCAGGCTTCTGGAAGGAAGTACAATGACTGAAACATTCACAGGACCTCAGCAGCCCCTCAATTTCCAGTTCCCAACCCCGCAACGCCCCCCCCACCCCAATACTGCAACTGCACAGAAAGCAACAAACAAGTCTTTTCAATGTTACATTTCATTCAGATAGATCTGTAATCTCACAGTGATGAGAAGAAAGTCAGGCCTTTAATAATTATAATAAAAAAAATAAAAAAGCTTACAAACAGCAATGCAACATTTCCTCCCCCCTCTCAAAGTGATGGATTAACAGCTGGTAGAGGATGCAATGACTCAGAATCAAAAATAAAAACAAAAACACAAAACAAGCCAACCCCTGGAACAACCCACACTGTCAATGACTTTCCATACATAATTCAAACAAGTAGTCAAACGTCAACCACTTGTGGAGAATACCACAGACTTCCTTGGTTTTTGATAGTGTTTTTCTTTTGAAGGTAAAATAAAATAGGACACAAATAAAATTGTACATAAATGCCAACGTCTACACTCCATAAAGGCGATGCTGCCGCAGCATGAAGACACAGCCTGACCACAAAGTGAAACAGAGGTTGCACTTCTTGCCTCTTCCCTGGACACAAAATTTTGGCCCATGGTGCCCAGTCCTGCAGGGTATTGGCAGGCAAAGGGAAGCTGCCTTGACACAGCATCTTCCAGGCCTGGACCAGGAGAAGGCAGGTGGCCAGGCCTGGAGCTGGCCCCATGCGGGGGTGCTGGCCACGCGGCCTGCTCACTCTGTGTTTTCAAGTGCTGTCTTCTCGTGCTCTGTACAACTCCTTGTTTTCAAGGCTAAGTCCCAAGACTTCTAGACTCAGGTCTGGAGTCACGTCCCGGTCAAGGTCGTCATGCTGTCGTGATGGCATTTAGGTCCTTCATCAGTCCTTCCAGGTGGGCCATCTCTTTGGTCAGCTCATCTGGTTCATAGCTCTACAGAAAAGAGAACAGTTACCAGGCACAGTCCAAGCCGCCGTCCAGAAGGAGGGCCCACAGAGAGACGTCAAAGCGTCAAGTGGTCAGTGACAACACTGCCTAAGAGACTGGACCACCCACGCCCCTGCTGGCCCAGCAGCATCAGAGGTTGCAGGATGTGCCCAAGCCAGCAACCACTCATTTCTTTCCACTGCAGAATGCCTTTCCTCCAACCCACACTGCCAGGGTCACGAGGACCTCACTCGTCCCTTCTAGTCTCTGTTGGACCCAACACAGTTGGTGTGTCCCCTGTATCTCTGGGCCCCAAGCTCTCCTCCTAAGAGAGTCCTGTACCTGGAAATGCAGAGGCAGAACATATTTATTGGAATGTGGGAGTGAAAGATCAAGGAGAGACCCTGTTGATTTTTGTTCTGAGAGCAGCCATGCAGGCACGTTCCTCTCCAGCATCCTGCTCAGGAAAGGTCATGAAGGGGGACTAAGGGGAAAAAGAACACGTGGATGGTTCAAACCAAGACAAGAGGACCAGAGAGACAGGACACAGTTAAAAGGAAGGCAGGTGGGTGGGCTGGTGTGACAAGCTAATCCAAGCAGATCAAACCCTCAGCACAGCCCTAGCTCACAGGAACTGCTCAGTGCTCGCCTGATGAGTGAGTAAGCGACTCTGCCTCACACTTCTGGGCCAGCACAGAGTATCAGCGTGCCCAGCGCACCCTCAGGCCTTGGGACACACATGCACCTAGTCATCCTGGTGGGGCTGGTGGCCCTGCGAACTCACACTCTCGGAGTCTTCCAGCATCCTTGTGGTCTCCTGCACTTCAGGGGCACTGGGAACCACCACTGGCATAGGAGGCCGGCTCCTTCCTAAAGTCCCGATGGAGGCCGTCTTCACCGAGTGGATGTGATGATTTAGAGCTGAGGGGGAAAGGGCACCATCAGGTGTGTGGCTGAACTTGCTCCCCCAGACCTCACAAAGGTACCCAAGGTCCAAATGCTGCTAAGGGTGAGGGATGCACCCAGACCCAGGGCAGAGATCTTGCTCTGAAAAGGCACTGGAACAAGATGGCAGGAGGGAGAAAGCAGGGCATCCAAGAGGCCAAATGTTCCATTTGGCTTTAGAAAGCTCATCTCCTAGTCCAGTTGCTCTCAAAGTGTGGTGGCCCAAGGACCCCTGGCAGGATATCTGGGAGGTCAAAACTCTTTTCATAATAATGCCAAGACAGTTTTTGCCCTTCCATCAATGGTACAAAAGCAACAGTGGGTATAACTGCTGGAGCCTTAGCTTAAATTAAGGCAGTGGCACCAAACTGTAAAGTCATTCGTGGACATGCATATTTGCAAGTTTAAAAAGAGCCAGTTTAAGATCATCGTTAATGAAGGAGCAAAAATTATGTTATGAAATCTCAACCTTGATTACACATCTTTTAAATATTCTAAAATGGAAATATGGGTAAAATACTTCTGCTGTACACCAAAGCATAATAGCCGTCTTCAATAAAGGGACTTGTAATTGAGTTGTGAGATGAACTGCTGCTTTCATCACGAAACATCAATGTTAGTACAGAGAAAGACTGACACACAAACCGGTTATTCAGACTTGAGCATCTGGCAGATATTTTCTAGAAAGTGAATGAAGTAAAGTCAGTCACTTCAGGGAAAACAATGGACAGTATTTATCTTCAATGATAAAATTTAAGTTTAAACTGAAAAATCAGAATTTTGAAAAACTTGTATCTGCCACCATGAGCTTGAGAGCTTCCCAATACTTCCAGACATTGGTGATATTAATGAATGTATTTTTAGATACTGTTTAAAAAAATGTATCAAAATTCGGAGGATCTGTATAACTTAGTGAACCATTACTTTCCAAAGACCAACATGTGATGTTCAGTACCACGCATTCAAAGTACAAGATATATGGATTTATTGGAACAGAGTACAAATAATTATATGGTTTCTGATTCCACATTACGAACAAACCTATAAGAAACTACAACTTGTTGAGTTTGCTGTAGTACCAAAAAAGAATATCCACAGTTGTCTGAAAAGGTTATAAAAATAATCTTCCCTTTTCCAACTACATATCTGTGAGGCCAGATTTTCTTCAACCAAAACAACATATTGCAACAGATTAAATGTGGAAGCAGGTGTGAGAATCCAGCTGTCTTCTATTAAGCCAGACATTAAAGAGATCTGCAAAAATATAAGACAATGCTACTCTTTTATTTTGAAATAGTTATTTTTCATGAAAAATATGCTATTTATCTTAACATGATAGATTTACTGCTATTTTTAAATGAATAAAATAGTTTTAAAATCTGTTTTGATTTCTAATATAGTAAATAATGATAGGTACAACCCATGTGAAGAAAAGCTCTTGTGCAGCTTCAACAGCTTATAAGAGTTAAAAAGCGTCCTGAGACCAGAAAGCTTGAAAACCAGTGATTTATTCTGAAACAAACCATCATAATAGAGAAAAATGTGAACAAGTAGGAGGCAGAAAGCACGCCTTTGAGGTGAGAGGGCTTTTGTTGAGCTGGGTGAACTCGAGTTAACTTTCCTTCTGCAGGGTTATTCCTCCACCCTAAGGTTCTTCCTTGTTTCCAAGTCTTGGCCTCCCTGACCCTTCTCCAGCTGGCAGGAACCCTATGGAGTGAGGCAACTCTGGGAGGAGGCTGGGCAGACCAGATCTGTTGCTCATACCCATGCCACTGGCTTTTACCACCAAGGACTCTGCACCCAAAACACAATTCAGAAAGTCAGCCCTTGCTTCCCGCCAAATTATTCTCTGGTTTATATATGTTCCCAAAGGAGGGGAGCCCTTATACTCCCTGAGAGGGGCAATGCACCCTGCAACACTAAATTGCAGGGATAAGCTCGGAGGACATTTGCTTTGTTACTCTGCAAAGAAGAGGTGACTCGCGCCATAAGCCAGAACCAAAGGGCCCCTCCAGTGGTGCTGCTGTCCCCACTCACCTTGCTGGGATAGTAACGGTGTGCTTGGCAATGCTGGATCATAGGTGGGAGGGCCTGGGGGAGGGATTGCTGGCACAGCAAAGCTCTTCAGTGGGTGGGAAGGGCGAACGTGGGCTGTAGGAAGACTCTGGCCTGAATCTTCCTCTTGGGAGCTGGCCAAGTAAGAGGAGCTGGTAGCACCTTCAGGATCCTGGTGATCAGCACAGCATGTCTGAGACGAGGAGGCTGGCATGGTGTCAGTGCTGGGGGTGTTTCGAACAGATTCTAAAGCAGGAAAGTCCAAATGTTAGCATTTATTTTACCACTGAACATATGCACATTCCAGGGTTCTGGCTACCTCTAAGGGCTCCTGAAACCAGCTCAATAAGCACTTAGGATCAATGCTAGTCCAAGGGAACATGGATTAGCACCACTGTCAAGGCTAAGTAAGAACAGTCTAATCTAAGAGTCCCGAACAATTTTGTCAACCAGAGGCTGGATTTGTTTCACCTACACAACCAAGTGGTCACAATTTTACAGATTTAAAGTTCTTCTCAGTACTCACTATGGAGCACATATCAAGGTTCCTGAGATGTTGTCTATTAAGATGTAAATAAGAAGAAAGAAGGGACTTCCCTGGTGCCACAGTGGTTAAGAATCTGCCTGCCAATGCAGGGGACATGGGCTCGAGCCCTGGTCTGGGAAGATCCCACATGCCGCGGAGCAACTAAGCCCGTGCACCACAACTACTGAGCCTGTGCTCTAGAGTCTGCGAGCCACTACTCATCCCATGTGCCTAGAGCCTGTGCTCTGCAACAAGGGAAGCCACCTCAATGAGAAGCCTGCGCACCTCAGTGAAGAGTAGCTCCCGCTGGCCGCAACTAGAGAAAGCCCGCATGTAGCAACCAAGACCCAACACAACCGTAAATAAATAAATAAATAAATAAATAAATAAATAAATAATAAAAGGAAGAAGAAAAGAAAACTGAAAATTTCAGTCATTGATTGACAGTCTCAGAGACTAGCCTTTCACATACAACATGTCTTACCACCAAGACTGGCTGGGTACCTGACAAGGACCAGCTCTGCCTGTGAGGCCTGGTGGTCACTGCAGGAGAGGCACACAGGCCCTGCACACTCTCTGGCTACTGTGCACACCCTCTCCAGAGCAACAGCCCCACAGCTCAAGTGAGACCTGGACAACCAAACAGTCCAGAGGTCTGTAAATGGCTTTAAGATCATGCCATGAGGTATTTGGGGGTCCAGAGAAAGAAAAAGCCTGGAGACGGGGAAAACTCAAGAAGAACATGACAAAAATCTCAAAATATGTGAAGAGGGGTCAGAGTTGTTCTGGAAGGCAGCATGGGGGGTAGTAAAAGCACTGGCTTTGGAGTCAGATAGACCTGAACCCTAATGTCTACACACAGGCTGAGCGAACTTGGCAGTCATCAAATCTCTGAATCTGTTTGTTCACCTATAAAAATAGGGAGAATAACACATAATTCACCGAGGATTAATTTAAAAAATGTATGTAAAGTGGTATACACAGGGTTTGAGTAATTGATAAGGTGCTTTTCTTCGTAAATTACCCGAGTGTTTACTCTGAGCCAGGCACCATGCTAAGTGCTTTACACTCATTAGCTCATTCAATCCTCCTAGTAACTCATTAGACACTGGGAGGTTAAGCACTGCCCAAGGACACAGAACCAATGGGGCAGGATTCCGAATCCCTGCCCGAGTCCCAAGTCCATGCTCCATCCAATACACATCACACTGCTCTTCCATGCCCAATACCACCTGTCCCCCGACTCTGCAGGGGCAGAAGCAGCACCAAGTCCCAGGGAGACCATATGAGGAAGACCTTTCAAATAGTGTGAGCTGGTGCAGATCACCATCCCCACCCTGAGGAGGGGTCTGGAGGATACCAGCTCAGGGCCACAGGTTGCACCAGGTAGCCTGAAGGAGGGCCTCCCTTGATTCCTAGAGTCCTCAACCTTATTAAGGAAAATAAACCCTTTTAAGCAGTAATGCATGAGCAACCTGCAGAAATCCAACCTTTCCCTGCCTTTGTTGCTGCGATAGCAATGAATCTGTTCCCTTGGGCTCTCAGGAGATGGGCCATGGCAGTCATGAGTGCTACTCCCTTAACTTAAAGGCCTTGGGTCCCAGCAATGAGGGACTCATCCACCCTCCCCAAGTGTTGAGAGCCTGGCTGTGATAACCCTCCCAGGCCTAAGGTCACTTCTTGTCCTTTCCAGGGGTACGCTGAGGATCTCACTTCTTATGCTTGCTCAGGTCAGCTATCACCACACCTGGGGAGCTGCTGGTCCCACCCCGTGTGATCCCGGGCCGGGTGGAAGCTGGTTAGCGCCTCGCTACAAGGATGAGGAGAGAGAAAGCAGGCTCTAGCCTGGACCATGTCAGACTGTACTGGCAGATATGTTAGGTCAGCTCTGGGCACACAGGCCTACCTTGGATGCCTCAACTGCCTTAATTTGATGCATATGCTTCTGAGGGCCAGAAATGGTGGGAAACGTGAAGAAGGAAAAGAGGGTTGCCTACATGAATCAGAGTGTGGAGCAACTCCAGAGGGCACCAGCATACTGTATTCTCTGTGAAGGGTGTGCCCTGAAATTGTGCAACACCTCTGGCCCACGAGGGGAAAGTATGTTGTAACTAAAATTTCTGCTTTGGTGAGGGACCTACTTCCCGACTGACCTCTCAGAGTTGTCTAAGACACACAAAGTGAACAGTGGCCGAGCGCTTGGGCAAGTGGAAAGCACGCTTTCTGCATCAGGCGGTAGTGACATAGTAAATGTCCAAGGAAAAGACACAGCCAATGCCCTCTAGAGCAAAGATGGCCCTGGACAAGGTCTAGTCATGCCAAGCCCACATCTACAGGTCTGTGGTAATACTGGACTCTAGAAACACAGGAACACACAACAGGCGGAGAACTCTGATCACTTCTAGATACCTGCTCTACATTTCAAATCCATCTTCAGTGGCTCCATTACAAGTTTTACCTTCTTTTATCTCCTCTGGTCATTAAAACAGGGAACCCTTTAGTGGTACAAATAGTTACTTTTCCTCTTTTCGCTTTCCGCCTGAATCCATACAGAGCCAAGCTTTTATCAACACTGGACCACTTGGACGAGGAGTGGGCTGATCTGACGGGAAGACCCTGCCATGCACTTAGGTAGGCCCATATCCCAGTGGGTGAGGCCTTTCTGCCTTAAAAATGGAGAAACAGAGTCAGGACACAAAAACCACTTTCTAAGAGCAGGTTTGGAGGGCTGCTTTCTTGTCTGTTCTATCTGAGATGATGTCTGTGAGGCAGCCTTTGGTTCTCCATAGCCTCCTGTAGACTGTATTTCCCTAAAGGCAGGACCCCACACCTGGATTTGGAGGGAGGGAGAGGCCAATTTTAGACATGAGTTCAAGCAGCATTCTCCAAACCAAGTAAAGGTTTGGGAGTAGATAACTTTCGGAGTTATCAGGCATCTCTTAATAAGCTTTGACCTCCATCTGATGCTTTGGGTATGTTTATAATTGATCAAAACGTAAAGGAGGAAGGGATGTTACTGGCAACCCAAGCTTCTAGCACGAAGTTTTGAGGTTCTTTTAAAATGGAATTCACTTGAAATTCCCTTATTTTCCAGAACTACCAAAACTTAGTTCTACTAGTAACATATGTAACTATTAAAAGACAAGTTTCGAATGATGGAAAAAGAGTACACTGTATAGATGAGAAGTGGGTTTTTTTGCACCTTAAAACTGAGAAGATGGAAATTAATTTTCAGTTAATGAGGAACAGTATTTATTCCATTTGCTGTCCTCTCACCTTCACTTTTTCTTCCTTAAAACTGTTTTGATAAAGCTGTTTCTTAAGATTTCCAAACTGGGACATGTTAGTCTGGCAATGTATATCTTTAAATACACTGCAGATTGTTAGGCTAATTTCCTATCTATTTTTAGAGATGATCTATGCCTGTGAGCCCTTTCTAATTTCAGTAATCCACTAGGCAACCTGAGGTTTACAATATGCACAAGCTCAACATGGCCACTGGCCCTGCTGTCCCCAGGTGTCGCTTACTTTGGTACATGGCAGAAGTAAGTAATTAAGGCCTAACATTAGAACTACCTTATGGCTGCCCTAAGAACCTTCCCAACATTAGGCAAAGGCAACATCTAGTGTCTGAAAATCACCCAGAATACATTTTCCTTTCAAACTGGAAGATTAAAAAAATAAACAAACTGAAAATATGATGGAATTAAGATGCAAGATGATGGAACAAGACATGGTTATGTGATTAGAGTTACGTTTTTACTAAAACAACACCTTGCCCTAAGCACTTAAAACTTAGGGGGAAAAAATGGACTGAATTTTATAGAAACAAATTTGAGTCAGTAACAGAAACGTTATGATAAACAAATAACACTGAAAAAAAATTCCAAATCGTTCTAAGCAGGGCAAGTCCTCCCCATTGCAGCCTGCCGATGCTTTTTGGAATGCTTTCCACCTGGGGCTCCATCCTCATCTCTCACCTGTGGAATTGGCCCTGTCTGAAAGGGACATGGATGTGCCAATGGGCCATGAGCTGCCCGGGTGGTAGAGATGACTGCGAGCTGGAGAAGCGAGGCTGCTGGAGTGGAAATGATGGTGAGGGTTATCGAGGGAATGGATGGGATGGGCACTAATCACAGCTGTGAATGAACACAAGACAGAGAAATGCTTAACATGCTTGCACAGACACACACATATCACAGTTCAAGAGCAGTTACCCCGCGCCCCCCCTCCCATACTATACGACCACTTCCTTGGCTTTTTGGTGGCAGATGGCTGAATTTGGACAATTAGCCATGGGTTTTATACTTGCTTTAAAAAGTCAACACACTCCTATGCATATGTCTCTAGATATACACAGAAAGAAAAAACCCTGATGATTTTTACTAAAATGTTAACAGTGATTATCTTGTGGGGAAGAGTGGTGAAGAGTTTTAAAAAAAATTTCTTTTGGTTTATCTTCATTTTCCAATTCTTCTACAATAAATATGGATTATATGAGTTATTAAAAATATCTCCTTGAATATGTCATAAAATATAAATCCATAAGCAAACAAATGGTGGTTTGGGTCTCTATTATTTTTTTCTCTTGCTTAAAAAGATAGAAGTCCCTTTTCCTTTGAGTATATTCCTAATTCATTCTGTCTTTTCTTACTTGCTGAATGAAGCATGAAATAGGTATTTAGGCTGAATGAATAAGTAGCTGTTTAATCAGTTTTCATCTTAAAAGGAATGCACGTGGAACTGAACTCTTACGTTACAATCTAGTACTAAAAGCATGAAACACAGGCCTAGGGCACCATCTCTTCCTGCTTCCAGTCTGGAAGCTCAGCCACATCCATTCACATATTAAAAGATAAACAGATTTTTCCTAAATTGCCTCTTTCCTTCCCACACTGGCTAAGGAATTCAATTTGCTGCATTTAGCAAACAAATCCAAATTTTCACACAGATGTTCCACATACAACTTTCTATGAAGACAAAGTGCTTCTTTAATGAGGCTTCATTATCAATCCCAGAGATGCAAACAAACAAAATCAGAAGCCCAGTTGGGATATAAACTTTTCTTAGGTACTCCCATAGAGTAGCTGGAGAAGCAGAATGTTTAACATCAAGATAACCAGCTCTAAATCCCCCAAACAGGTAAACAGGCAGGGTTGGCTAGGAACACATGGGATCTTTTTATTCTTCCCTTTAGGCAAGACTTCACAAACTTTGTGATAAAACTTAATTTGCCTTTGGAGTCTCTTAAAATGCCTTGTCACCAAGAATCTCCCTAGATCTTTGGGGAGCCACACAACATGACTGGTGAAGAAAATCCCAGTCAATAAAATAGAGGCCTTGGGCTTCCCTGGTGGCGCAGTGGTTGAGAGTCCGCCTGCTGATGCAGGGGACACGGCTTTGTGCCCCGGTCTAGGAGGATCCCATGTGCCATGGAGTGGCTGGGCCCGTGAGCCATGGCCGCTGAGCCTGTGCGTCCGGCGCCTGTGCTCCGCAACGGGAGAGGCCGCAACAGTGAGAGGCCCTCGTACGGCAAAAAAAAAAAGCTATTATACCAATATTCCATTGCAGAAAGTTAGAGTAAGGCCCTCACTCAAAAACTTAAATATGACGAAAAAAAAAAAAAAAAAAAAAAAAAAAAAATTGAGGCCTTTATTTTGCAGCTTTCTCTTTGCCACGTGCAAACAAGCAGGTGGCACAACCAGCCAGGGACCCTGGAGCAGTGCTGCCCCCTCCCCGCCTCAAGGCCTGGGAAACTAATCAGGGGCTTTCCCTGCCCTCAGGGATCAGGAGCTGCAGGTGGTCCCTTGGAATAAAATACAACTTGGAAAATCTGGCTGAGCAGAGGTCTTAGGGCAGCTTGGCAGTCAGCATCTCCTCCAGGGGAAGACAGGTAGTTTTCAGAAGTAGGGTGTTTCAGGATCAATGTTTTCCAGAATTAAGGCTAGGGTGAGGGAAAAAGCCCCCTGTTTTTTATCTAGGAAGTGCAACTTGAAAGTGTTTTAGGTACAGAGAACTCTCACTAAAGAAAAACAAAGTTGACTTTAAGGCATTGCCAGTTTTTCCAAATTAAGTAAATTAAAAAAGTGAAAGTGCCCGTCTAGAATACAGTTGGCAATAATTAGCTATTAGCTGAATCAGAATCCAAAGCTTCTGGTGCAAGGCCTCTGATGGAACCTCATCCTGACACCACCAAGCCTTTCTCAACAGTGCTCAGACATTTAAAGCCATGGTAGGTGGATGCGGGATGCAGACTCCAGGGAATCCCAGCTTGTGAAAAAGGACTGAAGCCACGTGGGGAAAAGCATATCTCTAAACCTGAAGATCACAAGTATATCACAAGTAAATTTGGGTTTCAGATTCTTGAATTAAAGAATCCACTCACCCACCCAACTGCTGAGGCACCAATTAAGTAATACTGTACCTTTATGCATACTCCTTCCCACCACCAAAAAAAGGAAAAAAACAGGAATGCTATCAACTAGTACAGCACATCTTTTCTGTGTAACATATTTAAAAATAACAAATCTAGGAATAGGGTTAGTCAAATTTTACAAGTTTTAAAAATAAGCCAGTTCAGGCAAGAACTAAAGTCTTATATAAAACAAACAAGTAAGTAGTCAAGCTACCATCTTCTTATAAATCAAAAGCAACTGGAATGGAATAATTTACTCTTTTTGGACACTTCTAAACCTGGGGACCCTGCCCAGGGCACCTCTGATGAGAGGGAAACCAGTTTTCCTTGCACACTTCGAAGTACAGGCCCCTCTTTTTTTTTTATCATGGACCCTAAGCAAAAACTACTTTGCGCAGAAATGACCTATTAGCAAATTGGCCCTTTCCCTCTCAAAGCTGATTTTTAGAATCTCATGCAAGTGACAGCGTGTGTGCAGACATTTACACTCTCAGGGATTCCACCAGTTTCCAAACACATGGTGCCATCTTCTGTGTGTAGGATATCTGTGATTATTTAAAATCTCTGTCACTTGTTAACAGGGATGGCTAATAGTTCTGAAATGGGACATCTTTTAAGAAATGAATAAAAATCCAAAAGCTCATTTAGGTTAAATTAAAAAGTGATCTTTCAGGATTTGAATCTAGGCACCTGACAGTGTTAATGTTTACTAACCTACTGTTCAGTCCAGAGCAAATAACTTCAAGATCAAATAGTTTTTTAAACTTGATATTGGTAGGCAAGTGGCTTCTTATCTCTCTAGAATGGCACAGAGGACCCTCAACTGCAAGTCCCATTGTGCCAGCTAATCTGAAGGGCTTCCCCACCTTGAAAACAGTAACAAGGGAGAAGAAACACTAGTTTAAAAATATAATTGGTCTGTCCCATTGCTTTTTGGTTTTTTAATCATGACAGTTAACTTATTTTGAGCTTCAAATATTATTAAAGGAGGCTGGGCAATTTTCATGCTTATCAAAGTGAAGCATGGGTCAGATAAGGTTGAAAAATAGTGCTTTAAAAATTCCATGCTGTCCACCTAAAACTCCTCTAAAATATAACGTCTATTAACTAAAAAAAAATTCCGCAGGTGCCTGTCAACACTGATTATGTATCGGGAAGCCTAAGGAATACTGTGACATCTAGCCATCTTCAGCCCCATCTCTCCTGCAGAGACTTGATGTACTTTTAAAGAGACTGGTCACTTCCCTAATGCCTGGGAGACTTGTGGAAATTGGCTTCTTAGCTTATTTGCACTGAAATTAAAGAAGCTACTTGCAAGAATAAATATTAATTGCAAAATATGGCAAATGCTTGATACTTATTCCCTCATGGTGCCAAAGCTTTGGTAGATTATTTTTTGTGTTAGGATCAAGTGAAGTCAAAGAGATCACTGATAGTTGTTCCCCAACAAGACTGGATAGATTGGCAGCCCTCGGGAAAAGAGAAGCTTTTAACTTACGCTGGGGTGGCTGGGAGTCAAAGGGCATCATCATTTTTGGTCTCATTCCCCGCCTTCCAGCCAGTGTAGACATGCTGTCCTCTGATTCATGCCCTAGACATCAAATATGGAGGCTGGTTACAAACATGTGCCCTAGGCCAATGAGCAGCCTCGGCAGTAAAACATTTCAAGTGGGGGATTCAGGACTCACAAACAACAATGGGACAAGGTGTTTCTGCAGGAAGTGAAATAAAGAGGAAAATGACCATTAGCGCATTACAGGAGTCCCTGTTGAGTCAACTCAGTTGACACAACGCTGCCTACCATGCTTCACTGCAGGTCTGTGAGGGAGAGCAGCCAGACCAAGAACATGCTGAACACCATAATGAGAGCTGGGGTCCAACTGAAGGGACAGAATGAAATGCACAGACATAGGCTACATTGTCTCAAATGCTTGAGTGTCAGGTTGGTGAAGCACGATGAGAGACCTAACAGAGCTAGAAGACTGTCTCATCTGGGTATAGAACCTCTCCCCTCTAACAAGCTAGCTATTCTTCATCAGAGGTTGATCCTGTAACACACATTTCTTTAAACCTAACCTCGTATAGGAATCACCAAATTAAGGCAACCTTACAAAATGGAAAATGGTTTAAATGAAAATAGTCTCCAAACATTTGGGAAAAACCTGCACCTCTATATGAATTCCGCCTTTGATGGATGTTGCTGTCCATGGAATTGTCAACCGGTGTGATATCTTGAGAGTTACGAGGAATTGGAGTATCAGTCATGATGGGGTTTGGGTCTGGAGACTTATCAATGGGTTTCAGCTCCAGTCTCTCATGATGGATCCAGAGGTCTGGGGGTTTGACATCTTTGGAGTTCCCTTTGTACTTGTGGGAGCCATTCACTGATTTGCAAGCAGCTCGTTTCCTAGGTACAAAATTAAGAGGATTTTTAAAAGTAACTCTTGAATTTATTAGTCAAAAGGTTTCAATGATTAAAACTTCCCTTCTGAGAGATGCTTCAGGCAAAATCAGAAACAAACAAACAAGAAAAACAGAGTCAAGAAGTTTTCTTCTGGGAATAGTAAGTGTATCTCTGCTTTGTCCACATTATATTTAGAGGTATGTACCTGGGCATATTTGAATATTGCCTTGTGACTTTTTGAGTATAAACAGATTAGAGAGCATTTTTGAATCAAATAATCTCTAAAGCAAAAGGTTTCTCCCCAAGTTTCCAATCAGTAGAGAAAGGACACCGTTAACTAGAAATATAACAATGGAGTAGACATAGAGTCTGCTTATAAAGGAGGAAGGGAACTCCATTTTAGGTAACTCAAACTAGGACCACCACTGGGTTAAGTCAGGAATGGGGATGACAGTGTCAACTTTTCTGTGCCTTAGTTTCTCCATTAAGTCACTCACCCAACTCAATAAGCATTTATTAGGTACCTACTGTATGTCAGGTCCTACTATGCTGGATTGCTGTACCCTCAGCACTTCTGGCCAAGTGAGGAAGACAGACACTGAACTATTTTTTTTTTTTTTTTTTTTGCAGTACGTGGGCCTCACTGTTGTGGCCTCTCCTGTTGCGGAGCACAGGCTCCGGACGCACAGGCTCAGCGGCCATGGCTCACGGGCCCAGCCGCTCCGCGGCATGTGGGATCCTCCCAGACCGGGGCATAAACCCCCGTCCCCTGCATCGGCAAGAGGACTCTCAACCACTGCGCCACCTGGGAAGCCCTGAACTATTATTTTTAAATGTTCTGAGCTTAATGAAATGCCAAGTGTTATAGTAACCTCTTAATAGCTGGACATACAGTGGACAGGAAAAATGTGAAGGAAAAAGTGACATTTAAGCTAAGACCTAAATGGGACAGGACAGAAGGTGCATTCCAGGTGGTAAAATCAGATTATGTCAGAGCCCTGAAGCACAGAGCAACAGCCTGGTGTGTTAGAGGGACTGTAAAAAGTCCTGAGTGGGGCAGCGTATGAACCATGGGGAGAATGATATGAAATGATGCTGGCAAGATGGGCAGGGATTAGATCATAAAGAGCTTTTAGAGCCATGCCAAGAGTCTGAAGTTCCCTCTATGAGTAAAGAGAAACCCCTAAATGGTTTTAAGCAGGAGAGTAAGGAGATGAACTCTGAGTTAAAAATTTAAACCAACTGGGATGTGAAGAATGGATTTGAGGGGTAGGGTACAAAACAGGAGGGCAGTTAGGATGCAACTGCAATAATCTCGGCCATGACTGATGGTGGCCTGGGACAGTGAGAATGGAGGAAAGAGAGAGATTTGGCAGTTATTTAGGAGCCCAAAATGACAAGACTTGGTGAGAAAATGGATGTGGGAAAGGATAGGAATAAAGAAACAAGAGGAATAAAGGATTATGCCGAGGTCTCTGGCTTAAGCCATTTACTAACACTGAGGAGAAGCAGGTTTGACAGAAAAGATTATAAATTGTTTTGGACATGCTAAGTGGCTCTGAGACACTAAAGATGAAACATAAAACAGGTAATTGGTTCTGAGACTGAGGCAAGCCTGAGACTCAGAAGAGAGAGGCCTTGGCTAGAGAGAGGAATATGGCAGTAGCTGAAATTCAGAAGTAAATGAAGCCAGAGGAGCAAGTATCACTAGGAGAGAGCGTAGAAGGAGAAGAGAGTAATTCTAGGACCAGGCCCTGAGGAATGTCTGTATTTGATGGCCGAGTAGATTGGAGAGGCTGCGAAAATGAACACACAAGCACGGAATACAAGAGAATGTATTCAAGAGAATGTTTCAAGAAGGAAGAAGTAGTTGACAGTGTTAAGTGTTGAGAGATTAATATAAGGACTGAAAAATTTCCTTTGGCTTTAGCAATATGGAAGTCACTGGTGACCTCAGAAAAAACAATTCTGCTGAAGCAGTAGGGGCAAAATTTGGATTAGAAAGGACTGAAGCATGAATGGGCAGTGAAAAAATGGACAAGTGAGTGTAGACAAGTATTCAAGAAATTTGTGGTGAAGGGAAAGATAGAGATTTGTAAGTGGTTGGTGGTAAGGACCATGCAACAGAGGAAGGGTTATAATTATTTCTTAAGATAGAAGTTTGAGCACACTTACATGCTGAAGGGGCAGAGCCAACAGAGAGTGAGAGGTTAGCTGTGCTGGAGAAAGGGACAACCACAAGTACAAGGTCTTAGAAAGCAGGAGATGCTGGGATCCAGACAGTAAGTGGAGAACTGGTCTCCGACAGGAGGAAGGGGGAGAAAATGATTATTCCCAACATGGAAAGGTTTTTAGATTTGATGGTGGCACACTGAGGTAGTTCTCATCTTTTGAGTGTGAGGGGGCTATAGAGAGATGTGCTGAGAAACTACAAGGGGCTAGACTCTAAATATTCTGTCAGCTTTGAGGTTGTAAGAGTCTATAAACAGCTACAATTGAAATGGGAGGTGCCTCAGGTAATAAAGAGGAAGAAAAGTACTGAGAAAAGCTCACATATTTTCGATGGTCAATGGAACACCTGGAAAGCAAATCACTGGGGGCGGGGGGGGAGGAGGAGGGGAAAGCTCTATGAAGACTTGATACAATTCTTTTAGCCAAAGGGACACAAATTATAGGACCTGTAGATGCAAATACAGAGTACAGAGCCTATTACAAACTCATTTTCCTACCTCTCAATCTGAAGACTAAGTACTTTATTTTTTATTTACTTTGAATTTTAAATCCCCCCAAACATTAAGGAATTCTGTCATTTTGTTTTTCCAGATGCTTTTAAATAAAGATCTCAAGATGTCTAAAACTAGATGCAAAATCAAGCTCATAAAGATAAATGGGAAATGCTGAAAAAGAAGCTTATAGAAAAGTTGTAGCATAGAAAAATGTAATCTCTGAGGTTTTAAAGAGAAACAGTTTTCTACAATCAAAGGTAGGCAGGGAAAGCTGTAAGAGGCAGAAATCAAGAGGCGTATAAAGAGAGCCCCCATTCTCTTGGAAAAATGATGAAGGTGAGCTACAGAAAGCTATTTTATTTGGGCAAAAGAAAGATTAAAAACATCACATAACCTACAGAAAATGACATAAAGCCATTACTAGTAGAAGTTAGATGGTAGCTTGTACTTGCCTTCTGTTTTGAAAACAAACAGATTTATTGTTATTAAATACACTCATCCTTGTCTTGGGCAGACCAGGTCTGAAGATAATCACACAGACGTGAATTTCTCTTTTCTCTTTTTGGAGCAATACCTCCATCTTACGATCCTTTAGGATACTGCAACTAAAGTTGTTCTATTACCCATACTGTGTTTTTGCTATTAGGGGTAACTCAAGAATCTCCTTTTTTATGGCATCTGTCTTGCTGGCCAGAGATAGGAGTAGAATATGACCTAGGGTCAAGGATTCTCTCAGGTTCAGGAGTGCAGGCTGTTATCAAGCACCATATTATGGAATCACCTTGCTATCTCCTCTAGACAATTAGCCGCAAGCCTCAAAATCCCAGAGGAGTTCAGAGCTAGCAGCCACCTGACCTCTCTGCTAATGTGATATGCTGATTATAAGTAATCCTTTCTCGTTCATTTAATCAATACATCTCTCCACCGCATTCCCCCCACCCCACCTCCTGCAGTCCCAACCTCAACTTCTACACTGGTAGCACTTCTTTAAAAATACTCTTAAGCTTAGATTTAGAGTCTATGGTCTATGGTCTCCGTCCATCTCAGCTGACATTTGTGCCATGAAATTCCACAAACTCCTGTGCATCTGGTTCACTGTGTGCACAGAGACAGTCTTCAAAGGGGCCCCCAAAAAGGGTGGACATTGTCCACTTTCCTCTCCAGATCGATTGTCTACTTGGCTCTGTGACTTGAGAGGTTGAGTTAAATGAACTATATCTACCTGGTAACTCTGTCCCTGGCTTCCAGTTGGTTTGTCAGGTAGAATGCACAGGCAAGACACTGGAAGGTAGGAGGTATTTTCTCTCCTGCCCCCTCACTGCTGGGCTAGAGGTTGGCAGTAGTTACAGTCCTACCAACCCACACGGTTCCTGTGGCAAGCCCACTCCTGCTGCTTCAGATCCCTGAAAACAGCTCTCTCTTCATCAGAAAAACCCCTCGCCCTTTTAAGGGTGACAGTGGCCTATCACTGCTGCTGGCCCTTGAACACTGCTGCCTAACGCTAACCCCACCTAGGACATTGTAAATGGTCCCTTCATTAAAGCCTCCTTCACCCCCTTTCAGTGTGCCACCTCTTTCCTGCCAGGACCCTGAATGACACACACTTAATAAGAGGAACCATTCTGCATTTCCTTTAAAAATATTTAAAACATCGCTTTTCACATATTTTATGTTTTAACTCTGTGTACAACTCCAGATACAGAAGTCACATAGAAGCAAAAGAATACATACAAAAAAATGTATGGGCTACAACTGGGGCTCCTTACTTTTTCTGGTGAGAAGTGGTACGCCTGGTGCAAAAGACAGCGATGATCACGACCACCACGATGGTGATGACGCCAACGGAAACGATGATGACCAGCAGCATGTTACTGTCTAGAGGAGAGGTGGGGCTTCCATGAGGGCTGTTACTGCCTGGAAAGGGAAAACCGTACGCTTGCTAGTGTTAGAGAATTCTAGCATAAAATCAGGCTACAGAACCGTCATGTGAGTATAGATACTTCTGTGAGCTTCTTGATAACAGTCATCACCGTGCCTTGTATAAAAGTGCCTCATGAACACGGCCATCTCCACTAGATTATGAAATCTAGAGAGCGGAGTTTCTGCCCTATGCACAGTACCTTGCACAAAGCTGATGTTCAATAAAAGTTTCTCAAGTTATACTGAACATTATGCTTGGACAAATAAGGGGGTCTGTCTCCTGGTGTCTTATGTTGTACGTAAGCACCATTTGTGAATCATTTTCTGACTTGCAAAACTATTTAAAAAATGTACACTCATAGAAAACAAAAGTTTTTTTCCAATATATAGATGTCTGCCATCACAAAAAATTACTTGAAAAATAACGTCTCTCTTTTTATAAATACACAGTCTATGCAGAGTTAATTTTCTTATTCAGTTTCAGGAAAATGTCTGTACATATGCATTAATTTGACAAATATTTACTGAGTGGTTACTATGAGCCAGGCATTGTTCTAGGTACTAAGGATGCAACAGTGAACAACAAAGATAGGTAGGGGTGGGGGCAGACAATAAACAAATAAGAAATTGTTAGTTTGTAATAAGTGCTATGAAAAAATAAAACGAAGGTATACGATACAGAGTGACTGGGTGGCTATTTTAGATTGAATGGATGGGAAAAGCTTCTCTGAGGAGATGGCATTTGGGCTGAGATTTGAATGACATGAATGATCCCACCATACAAAGACCTGGAGGAAGAACATTCCACAGAGAGGGAATAGCTAGTGGAAGGATCCTATGGCAGGAGTGAGCTTGGCATGTTCAAGGAAGAGAAAGGCAGCCAGTATTGCTGAAGCAAAGAGAGATATGCAAAGTTAGAGGGAAGGAAGTGAGCAGAAAAAAGATGAAGGTGAGGCTGGAGGGGTGTGCAGAGGCCACGTCATTCATGACCTTGAAGAAACAGATTTTCTTCTTCTTCCTATTAGTGTTCCCTCATTGCTCACAGGATGAGGCTCAGCTTTTTATCAAGGCCTTTTGTAGTCTTGCTCTTCCATTTTCTGAAACATAGTTCTTTGCTTCCCACCTCGTTATAAAAGTTATGCATGTTCATATTATAAAATACGGGAAATGCCTCTACACAGATCTAACCACCATGGATATATGACATCTTTTCTTCTAGTTACTCTCTCTTATTGCCCTAACAATCAAAGCTGTACAATAATAGGATGAGCTGTTTTGCTTAACTATTGCTAGTGACTAAATATTTAGTCACTAAAAGAAGTACTTAAGAAGAGTCATCCTACATGTCTGGGATGTTGTAGAAGAAATTCCTACCATGAAGGTATGGCCTAGGAACCTGTGTTCTTAGAAAAGCTCCTAAAGTGATTCTCATATACAGCCTGGCTTATAAACTTACGAGCTAATCCAAACTATACTTATTGTGGGAATCCCTTCCATAACACTGGATTAGCGGGCCTTTCACTTTTGATTCTATGATTTTATAGGCTACTAAGCACAGTCCTAAATGTGGGATAATTTTGACAGCTTAAGAGCTTATTCTTCTACATTTGCTTTAATCACTTTTATCCTTCATTTCTGAGAAAAAAGTCAGCAGATAGACAACCTAAATTGTACACACTGACCTTCAATAAAATAACATTTTTATGTTTGGGAAAGACTATGGAACTGGGAGCCAATACCATTAGACCACACTAGGGCCTTACATAAAACTTTTATTAACAGCAGTGCTGAGTTACTGGGTGGGGCAGTGGTGGGGCAGGCACTGCAATCAGAGGCTGGGGAGCTGGGGTGTGGGAGGCAAGCAGAGGTGGTGGTGGCAGTTCTTTCCTGCATTCAACAGAGACAAATTCTCATTTAACTGCAGTTGACCTCTAACTTCTGAGCTGGCCAAAAGCTCCCTTTTAAAATAGAGTAAGAATGAGCTGCCAATGGGAGCATCATCCCTCCTACCAGGGACATTAAGGCTCACCTGGACTATTGCAACAGCTTCCAAACCACTCTTTTCTGACTTCATACTCGTGACACCCAACTCATTCTCCACTGTCATCAGGGTAATAATAGTAGATACTCAATAAATGGAAGTCATAGTTTACCAGTAGTATCAGACATCTTACATATGTTACTTACATGAGGAAGCTCACATTTCTTAACATCAGCGCTTGAGTTTTTGAGAGGCTGGTTCTAACCTACCTTCTCTAACACGAGACTCTCTATCCTGTCTCTAGGCAGTGTGATCCTTGGAGAAGGCAGGTTTAAAAAATTTTTTTTTAACATCTTTATTGGAGTGTACTTGCTTTACAGTGTTGTTAGTTTCTGCTGTGTAACAAAGTGAATCAGCTATACATATACATATATTCCCATATCTCCTCCCTCTTGCATATCCCTCCCACCCTCATTATCCCACCCCTCTAGGTGGACACAAAGCACCGAGCTGATCTCCCTGTGCTATGCAGCTGCTTCCCACTAGCTAGCTATTTTACATTTGGTAGTGTATATATGTCAGTGCTACTCCCTCACTTCGTCCCAGCTTATCCATCCCCCTCCCCGTGTCCTCAAGTCCATTCTCTACATCTGCGTCTTTATTCCCGTCCTGCCCTTAGGTTTGTTAGAACCATTTTGTTTTTAAAGATTCCATATGTATGTGTTAGCACACGGTATTTGCTTTTCTCTTTCTGACTTACTTCACTCTGTATGACAGACTCTAGGTCCATCCAACTCACTACAAATAACTCAGTTTAGTTCCTTTTTATGGATGAGTAATATTCCATTGCACATATGTGCCACACCCTCTCTATCCATTCACCTGTCAACAGACACCTAGGTTGCCTCCATGTCCAAGAAGTCTGTTTTAAACTGCCATGCCGCCACAAGTGCTTTTATTGCGTCCTAGGATGTTCAACCCCCTCCTCAACATTTAGCAATCTTCTCTGTGCCTTTTAAAATCTGGGTCAGAGATCATCTCTTCTACAAAGCTTTCTCTTTTCTCTATAGGTAGTTTGTTACTCAATCCTCCTGCTCCTACAGCCTGTTACATAGAACCTGAACCTTTAGAAATATGTGTGAATAAATGAATGAATGCATAAATGAAAGATAAGACAAAGAAATAACTGCTTTTCTCACAGTCTTGAATATTATACTGTGGACAGCACATAAATGTAACATATGCATCCCAGGAGGAGAAACTCATAAAGTCCTAGAACTCAGAGCCTAAAAATTTCTTGAAGCAAGCAAATTTGTCTGGCTCTCCTAAGAACTGGATGATTTCACAGAAGTCTGGGCAATATCACTTTTTATTTAAATAGATACTGGAGACTGAGATAATTTTATTTCCACAATTAGATCAGGAGTTTCCAGAGGACTAGAAACTCTTTTCCTTTCTCTTCCATATGTTTCTTTCTTTCTTTTTTTTTTTTTTATTGGAGTAAAATTATTCTACAAGTGAGGAGACAGTAAGGGTCACTTCTAGTAACTACTTTTGTGGACATTTTGCCATCCTGGATTCCCACATACGGTATAGAACCCCATGCCTTTCAGGCTGCGTGTGACAGTGGAAAAGGCACCATCTGAAGTCAGAAGACCTGGGTTTTGGTTCTAGGACTTCCAGAATATGTGGGTGGATCCAGGCACATTACCTCTCTGCCGAGTCTCTTAATGTATAGAATGGGAATAATGATACTTGTTCTCCCTGCCTCACCACAGTGTTATGAGGATCAAATGTGATTTCATGTGTGAAAGTAACTTACAAATGGTGACGTTCAGTAGAGAAGTAGGTATCATCATTTAAGTAATCAGAAAGCATCAGCTCTTAGGATGGCTTGGAGACTGGTAATAATTTTTTAGAATTCCCAAACTAAAAACACTGCAGTAAGTAGTGTGGGGAGAAATTAATGATTCCAAAGCATTTCTCTGCCTTGTTCTAGATGATAGCTAATCCCACTAAAGGGTTTATTTTTGAAAGCAAGATTCTAATTATTTTCTAGAGGCAGTGGGCAAAAGGAAGACTTGTTTGTTTAGAATTATTTTAAGCTGGATATGTGGGGAAACAATTTTATTTCTGGATCCTATAATGAATGAGTTTATAGTAATTCAGCTAACATTTGCCAGAAAATGCCTAAAGCCAGCTCTATTAAATTAAAAGAAATGAGTAACATGCTACAATCCACCACAAAGGAGCTACAAAAAACATTTCAAGATTTCAAGTAGAACTGCATCATGCCCATAGGAGGCCAAAAAAGCCACAGGAAGGGCTTTACCGCTCATCGGAGGTTTGTAGTCGGATCCTAGGTCTGGCAGACGGCTTCCTTTCCCTGCAGACCCTGAGGCTGAAGAAGAAGAACTCATGTCAATAACAACCCAATCCACTGGTGTGACAAGTCTACTTCACAACTAGTGAGTGTTTTCTACAAAAAAAAAAAATATTTTCAGTCTACTCTGTCCATGAGAAAAGGAAGTAGCACGCACACAACAGGGGAAAATATAGCCTATTTGTGCAAAACAAACTAAGGTATAGCTTTCTATGCAATGAGGCATCTGAAGGTCTGACACCCTTGTTCCATGGCTGTATCTAGGGTGTAACAAGGCTGCCCCTTGCTGTTAAGGTTTCTCTAGCCCAGGAAACATGTGCTGAAATACTACCCAGAGCACTTATGGCTAAAGTAGCTTCTCGTGGAAAAGGGACTAAGGGGACCAGTTAGGTTAACTTCTGCATTAAAGAAATGGACTCTTCCAAGGGACCGGCTATGTTGATCTGGCCTAGTGGGTGTCAGTAGCGTTTGGATTCTTTTCTCAAAATATAAAGCTGCTTTTCCAAATATAAAGTTACCCTAACGGGAGCAGGAAGGCAACTGGATGTTCTAACTGGGTTCTCAGTTCTTGCTCAGTCAACCTAAATATCCAAAGATAAAAAAACCAAAGTCTTCCCTCTAGTTGCTCACAAAGGACACTGTCTCCTAATCCATCATCATGGAACATTAACAAGTGAGGCTGCTGACCTTGGGCTTGGGACTACCTCATAAGCAGACCTCAGAAAACACAAATATCAGTTTTTTAGAAATTTATATTCTTGGTCTTGAATTTTATTCTTCACATTTATAGAAAAAGCTGCTTTGTAAAGCAAATATAAGGAGTCCGTCCCCAGTAAAGCAAAGGTATTCCTCAATCCAAAGTCTGGGGCCAGAAGGCAGCCTCATACTTCTTTTGAAGAAGTCTGCAGGAACTGCAAAGTAGAGCTGTTCCACATAGTTAATACGGCACAGTGCGTAACCGACTGCCTGCACCGCAACACCGGCTCCATCGTGCACTAACTGTTTGACTTTTGGCAAGTTATTTAGCTATTATTTTTGGCTCTTAGTTCCCTCATTGTAAAACAGTGATAATAATGGTACCTACTTCATGAAATGGTTGTGAGGATTAAATGGAAATTTAATCCTATAAAGTATTTTGAATACTGCCTGGCAAACAGTAAATGTTCAATAAATATTAACTACTAAATAAATCTTTAGGGAAGAATATTATCTTATCCTTTGCAGAGGTAAAGAGCATGAAGCTTCAGAAAACACTTATAAATGAGAGTTATTTCTACAAAATAAAGCTTGACTGGAAATGCATAAACCAGACGTGTTGCTATAAAACATTACAGCTAATATCAAGTACTGCTGTAAATTATCAGACTTGGAGGAAATGGAAGAAATTAAAATCTGAAGGTTTCTGTATGAGTTCATTTAACGAATAAATCTAGAAATGAAAACAGTATTTTCTATGTTTCCAGAAGCTCAAAACCCCCAAAGAAGGTCTTGGGTATCCAAAAGGGCATATTCTAGAATTTAACTCACAGTCCTTGACCCTTTCCCATTGTCCATACTTATTACTTTATCCCTTTACTTCTGATGCCGTCATTCCTCCCAAATGGCACACACCATATTTCCTAGATTCCAGTTTTTCTTTTCACTGTGATAAGCTGGCAGAGATGAAAGAGCCCTTGTAAGGCTCTTCATATTTAAGTGTACTTATTTGTCATGTGGCCCACATTTAAGCCAAACTATCCAGAGTAACATATTATGTAAATAATTGCCAATGAACACACTTTGCCAAGAAACCGATTGACTTAATTCCTATATTTCTTAACATTTTTCCTTTATATTTAACCTATGAACAAGAAATTCCAGGGATTAGCCAAACACCAAAAATAAATATGGGCAAAGAATTTTAAATACCAAAGGTGCGGTGTAGCTGAGAATTACACCCTGGCTTATGGGGTGAAGTGAGGGAAGAACAGTGAGCACATTTATATTCTGCGCATATTCAGTACAGTTACTTTTCTATTCTCAGGCTTAAGTCAAAGGTTCTACCATGATTAGGGTGCCTTACACACAGACACACACACACAGACACAGAGGTATGTTTGCAGTTTCCCTAACATACAACAAAAGGCTCATTGAATGCAAACACATTTCCAAAACTCTAAAACTTGAAACTTCAAATTTTGAATCTTCCTTGCCATTAACCAAGATCCAAAGACTCTGTATTTCTAGTAACTACTCCCAAAGAATAAAAGCAACCATCAAATTTACTTTTACTGCTCTTAGTATAGAAAACAAATACCAACTTTAGCTGACTTCCCAGAGATGAAAATCACAAAGTATAGTTACCTCTCCACCATAGCAATTGCAGTGAACAGACTACACTGACAATTTCAAGAATGGTGACACTGAGGCCTAAGCTTCCTAAACTTCCACTGTAAACTGTCTCTATCCTCTTTTAAAATAAGCAGATATATTTAAGAGAAGAAATGGAAAAACAGCTCTGAATTAAGCTTACAACAAGAGAAAAGAGACCACTAATTTTGTCACAGATAATCATACAATTCAGTAGGGTACATTTGTAGATTTTCTGTTGGGGGGAGGAAAAGAGGGTATTCACTGAATTTGATTAAATTTTTCACTTAGAGATATTAATAAAATTCTAGATGCTACAAATATGACAAATTGGTATGCTTGTTCTCATCATGGCCCAAATCCCTATCTGTGTTACAGAATTTCAGTATCTTAGCGCAAATGATAATCTGGCCCACATTTAAGGCCAATCTCCTACAGCTGCAGAAGTTTGACTCAGTTTTTTTCCTGCCAGTCTATTTAGCTCCTAAGTATCAATAGATTCCCCAGCTTTTCAGATACTCCAAGTGCCACAAACATGGACTCAACTCTACTGTGGCCAATAAATATTTGATTTTTAACACATGGTACTGGTACTGATTTTCAGGAAAAAAACCCCCAAAAAACCAAAAATCTAATAATAGGTCACAAAAGAGAGGAAAGGAAAGAGAGGCCATCTACTCATTTACCTTGATCATTAGCCATTTTATCAGAGGAGTCCGCTAACAGGCCAAGCACAGGGGAAGAAAGAAACAAGAGCAAGGATCACAAGCTTTGAAGATGGGACAGGCAGAATTTTTAAAGGAAAAAGTAAAAACCCACAAACTTCCAAACACGTTGAGTCTTGTTTTTTGTACTAAAAGAAAAGAAATCCATGTATGGTTTCCATACTTCCAGACTCAGTCCCCGACTTTTATTCCTAAGCTTACTTGGTTCAATATTTTACCTTCACTTTCTTATCTAGACGTTTCTCTAAAGGGCCCCTTTTGAGAAAAGCCTCAACCCTTTCTCTCTACAAAGGTCCATGAATAAGCCTTTCAGGTTAAGAGCCTGCATGTGTTGAAAGAGAATCATCCATCACAATAAACATGCTACTACGCTGTATGGGAACCAAGAGAATCCCATCTGATCTGACTGGTAAGAACTTTTAGATCACTGCGATTCATCTGCCTCAAACAGCGTGAAGTCAAGAGTTCCCCTGTAAATTATATGGTTAGGTCAGTAACCTAGGGAACACTGATTTGGCAGTCAGTGGGTGGGATCATTTTGAGATAAATGCTCAACACTGTGGCTCATAAGCACATCATCAGGACTTCCTGTATCATCCACAGTCTCTACATGCTAAAGTGACATGTGCACGCATAGCCCCACTCAAGAGACACACAATGAAACACTCTGTTTGGGAGGCTTTACCTTTGGGTGTTCTAAACTGGACAGCTTCAGACATGGGCCCCATGCCCTTTGAGTTCCGAGCTTGGATTTTAAAGTAGTATGGTGTGTCAAGTGTTAATTCTTGTATCTGGTGAGTCAGCCTGTTTCCCACAACAGGCTCAATAACCCAGTCGTGTATCTCTGCATTCACGTCCGTACTGTAATATATGATGTAACCTATCCAAAGGAATTAATGGGAAAAGAAATCTTATTCCTGCATTTTCTTTTGCAATCAGTTAAGTCAATAAGGATATATGTTACAGCATATACAAATAGAGAACTAGTTACAGATTAAATTAGCAATGGTAAAATGCATTTTAAATGCTACACTAAACATAATATAGATAAAACCACAATTTCAACAGTGCCAGACTGTAAGTTACCATCTATATCTGCAGCTGAAGTAATAAAAGTAAAGATAAAAATATAGGGTTAAATATTCTCATAAGCTCGGAAATTATATAAGGAAAATAACCTAATCATCATTCCAACAACCTATACTTCAAGGGTCTACAATTAACTCAATGCAGTTTTGAAAACTAGTAACTAGTAACGGCCTGACAATGCTATATATATATATATATATTTTTTTTTTAATTTATTAATTTAATTTATTTATTTTTGGCTGCATTGGGTCTTCATTGCTGCATGTGGGCTTTCTCTACTTGTGGCAAGCAGAGGCTACTCTTTGTTGTAGTGTGCGGGCTTCTCATTGTGGTGGCTTCTCTTGTTGCGGAGCACGGGCTCTAGGCACGTGGGCTTCAGTAGTTGTGGCACACAGGCTCAGTAGTTGTGGCTCATGGCTCTAGAGCACAGGCTCAGTAGTTGTGGAGCACGGGCTTAGCTGCTCTGCGGCATGTGGGATCTTCCCGGAGCAGGGCTTGAACCTGTGTCCCCTGCACTGGCAGGTGGATTCTTAACCACTGCACCACCAGGGAAGCCCAACAATGATGTTTTAACTCTCACCAATGTGATTTCCCAGGAGAAAAACTAGGAGATGCACAGCCACCTCTGCTAAATTCTTCCAAACTTGGGGTGGGTGAAATCACCGTGAAACGTCACCTGATACATCCACCAGAGGGCACTCAATCTCCATGGTTGAGGCAGGAAGAACCACAACCACGAGCCTACCTGACCTACACAGTGCAAAAATGCACTGCATCATTACTGGTTTTAAAGACAAAACAAAATGTAATCCATGTCAAGTCATGCTTAATTCCTTTATGGAAGAGGCACATTCTAAAACCTAAAGTAAAAATTTCATAAAGACTTGGGATTTATGGAAAGGGATTCCTATTGAAAGCCAAGGCAGGACAATGCTAAGAAAGGCCTTCAGTTTCCTTAGGCTGCCTTATTCATACAAAGAAACTTCAGGAGGCATACACCTACCTGGAGCAGAGGCAGGTTTTCCTCCCTGATAAGGCCAAGGAAGGCATAGTGCTCTCTACTCTGAAAAAATTCAAGGTCCCTTCAAAGGCCTAAGCCAACTCGGACATTTAACTCTAGTTGTAAGAGCACAGGAAGCTGAAGTGGCAGCTCTGGGTGAAAAAAGAAACTAAAAGCCTAATGGGTTTTTTTGGCTTCTGGGTAAAAGAACTGAGTTTATATTTATTGGGTATTATCCTGTAGAATTAGGCAGGGTCTTTAATTTCAAAGCTGCTCATCTAGTCAGAGATAGAGAAGAACAGCTTTCCTGAGGAAAATAAATATGTCCATAAGTTCCACTATAACCAAAGGCTGTCTAGTACAACCCATGATCTTCAGACTTCCATGCAACATGGGTCAGAACAACCAGCTAGTGAATCATTTTTATGTCACTAAACAGCACGTCCTTGCTCCACCTTCCAGGACCATCATGACTCATACCTCATAAAATGGCCAAGGCAGCTTTAAGACCCCCATTTCACCTAACAAGGAGGCACCCTCCTGGAATGCTTCTGCCAGGCAGGAACAGGGAACAGTCACACACTCAAAGGCATCTTAGGCCTCTTACCTGTAATTTTGCCATTGGCTTCAGAGGGAGGCTGCCAATTTACAATTATGGTCCTAGGTTTTCCCTCTTTACTCACAACTGTCACATCCTTGGGTGGAGAAGTAGGAACTACAAAATAATAATACTTTCAATAATTCCCATCCATTTCAATTTAATTCACCCTTTCCTCAACCCTTTCCATTTAGAAGGCACAATGAAGGGCAGAGGCAAAAAAGATAAAGCCTCCTGGCTTCAAAGAATTCACTGTCTATCTATAAATAGCTCCAATGAAAAGAAGAATATGCAAAGTACCAAAGAGGAAATACCACACCATGTGGATACAGAATAGGCATCCAGATGGGGAGGTCAGGGATATGCAGGCTAGTGAGGGAAATCAAAAGACATCTGTAGTCCCTGCTTGACAGATCAGGAGACTAAAAATGAGAAATGTTATATAATGTGCCCAAGATGACATTTTCCCCCCAATTTGGACTGTTTTGTTAGAATAGTTTTAAGTATAAAGTAACTTTCCCTCTACCTATAGTTGGCTCTCTAAACCAAATACAGTGTTTGAAAACCACCATTCCCCCAAAGAATAAATAATTTACAAATTGATGTTTTTTTTTTAAAGTTAAATTTATGCTGAAAAGATACTGCAAACTATTGAAGGTTATTGCTCTGAAATGTAAAGCTGTTTATGGAAAAGAAAAATAATAAAAATGACAGTGCATCTGTATTTCCATGTTATGGCTGAAAACTTTTAATGTACTAGTTGGAAAATGAGCAAAGTAAGTATACCCTTAAATTTACTCTTCTCTTCCTAAAATACTGGAATTTTCCTAGTATAAAACAGAAGGGAGCCCAGTGAAATGCAAACTCCTGATGGAGTATCATTTATTACCTAATGGGCTGGAATGAAAGCACAAAGGTATTCTTAAAACTGGCAAAGAAAGCAAACTCAAGGTCTATTTAAGCTTTTGTGCATTATATTTCTTTCTCTCCAAATCTATCCCCTTTTCTCTGCAGGAAATTCAACCAACTGTGAAGATAAAAAGACATTAGGGCCAAACCCAGTCTACGGAGACTTTATAGCTCCATTTTTTTCATTATTCATTTAAAAGAGAGAAAGAAATAGGAGGGTGGAATAGACAGAGCCTCCCAACGGTTACACACCACCCCATGCTAGGGAAGTACAAGGGGCAGAAGGGTAGGTCTACAAGTGAGCAAAAAGCAAGCAAAATCTTAAAATTGGATGGCTTGCTTTCCCCTTGATTTACTTAGCTGTCTTTTTTCTTTCATGTTTACTTACAGAGAAAAACCCTAAGAATACTCCAGTGGGAGATTTTATAAGACACTAAACAGTTTGCAAGAAAGCTCCTAGGGAAGGCTTGGGAGGCTCTGGTAAAGTGCTGAGGCTCTAGCAAGCATAGCATTGGTGAAAGGCAGGGCACTTCATTTTTTCTATCTCAATTTCCCAGTAAGGCAAGGTTAATAACCGTAATTCCTTACATCTACACAGTGCTTTACAATTTACTATGTACTTTATTTATAGGGTACTTTATTTTACCCTATAAAGTAGGAAAGGCAGAGATCACCCCTCTTTTATAGATGGAAGAAATAGATTCAGAGAGGCTGGATGACTTGCTTATGATCACAGTCAATAGATGGTTGACCTTGGAATTGAACTCAAGTCTCATGACTCCTAAAATCTAGTACACTTTGCATTATATTGTTCTGCTATTTGCTAATGTTCTTGTACAACGATGAAAAAACAAAATTCATCAGCTGAAAAAGCAAACACTGAACTCCAGCTATAGCTGCTCACTGTGTTCTGTAAATATGTCAATTCATGCACTCAATGCTTTCCTTGGGTAGTAAAAACAGGTGATGAGATGTCTTATGACTTGAGATATGGCACATTAGCACGGACTTTCACTGGCTTTCACTTCTTGCAAAGAGAAGAAATGCCATGTGACAAAGTTCTGACAACACATACCGAATTCAAAAGTGGTCCCATGTGCTGTCATACTCCATGTGCTTGATCTTCGACCTTTAGTCACCATCACAGAGAATTCATAGAGTGTATTTGGTTTTAAACCAGTCACCAAATAACTCAAAGTCGTTGCATTAGCATTCTGGAAATATATGAATCAAGAGCTTCAGAGTCAGAAAATATCAAGAATTAGGTTTTCAACCAGAACAAATGTGCCAGTACCTTATACTTGGTGTTTGCTGGGATGTTCGTTTTCCATCGGACTGTGTAGTATCGGGAGTCTGTAATCTTCTGGTGTTTGGGCAGTGAGTTGTCTGCCCATGTAATCCTTATGGTGTCATGACTCAGAATGGAAGCCTGAACTCCCACTGGTGGCATCATGGGAGTAGGATCTGGCACTGGAGTGTATGGAGCATTAATAACAAATAAATCAACTTCAGAAGTGTCTGGGTAAAAAGTAATTAAAAAATGGAAGTGCCATTTTAACATAAACAAAAATAAAAGAAAAGGGAAATGCAGGGTAATATAATGGAATGAAAGGTGAGAAATGGAGAAAGAGAAAGAGAATCCGGAGTTAACAGATAACCACCATTCATTTAAAAGAATATTTCCACTTGTGTTCTTTCAGAAAAAAATTGCAGGAAAGTATCTAGAGAAACAGTAATTAACTATTTTCTTCTCCTGTATTCTGTATGTATATTGAACAGGTATATAAAATTTGGTAATCCAGTGATTATATTAATGTATTCAAACTTGAATTTTCTTTTTCCTAAAAAATTTCCTTTAAATTACTTGAAAATTCTATCTCCTGTCCAAAAAGGATCATTAAAAGATGAAAACTGCTTTTAATATCAAGGGTATTCTTTCTAATCCAATAACACAAAGCTCATGATCTGTTTTAATATTTCAGTGACTATGGTTGAATTTTTGGGACATGGCTTATCAATGGTATCACTGGACATGTAGGCGTCCCTACTCTAAAACATGAGTCCTGAATATCAGCCAACAGCAACTTAGCCTGGCCTTGGTATTGGGTGTATCTGATACCCATGCAGGGTACAGTTCTGATCTGCTGATGTCCTGGGTCTAAAAGAAGTGCAGCAATATGGCTCACATGCAAATAAAGCAAAGGGAACTCAAGGGCATTACTCTTCGTAGAGGAAAGGTAAGCTGATGCCACACAGGAATATTTCCACACTTTCTCCAGTAGACTTAGAACAACCCACTGATGAATCCCAATCAGTTATGGGAAATGCCATAGTTATTAAAGGTCTAAGTGACACAGCCTTTATGAACTTTAGAAATCAGAGCACTTATTTGATAGAAAGGAAAGTCTATATTCATGTGCTGTCCTGCACCATATGCAACAGACACATCCTCTAAGCATCATTGTCAAAACAAAGGCCAGAATGAGCACAAAGGCACCATGAGCCCATGGCAATACAGCAGCATCCATTTGGGCTTTCCCAACTCTTGGCCAGTTTTCTAAGTATATACACACTGATTTATTTTAAGTAAAGGTTTTAAAGTGGGTTTCCCATATAGTTACTGTGACTAGTCCTTTCTATAACCTAAAATGTGAAATGGCATGGGCCTTGTTTATGAATAATTGCCAAGCTAAAGAAATAGTCTCCATTTGTGTATTTCCTACACAATGAAGACTAAAAATAACACAGGAACAGCATTCATTATAACCAAGGGCTTTGTTCAAAGATCAGGACACACACCAATTAGTTACAGAAAATGCACCTTCAGGTGCAAACATCACCAAGACTTCCTTGAGAACTTTTTTCTTATTTGTTAACAACTCTTGGAAAAGATAACTAGGTTACATGACTTATGAACATTTCCCCTTGTATATTTCTAGCCATGCTATATTTTTAAGTCACATAAAAGAAAATAATTCCGAATTTGTTTTTTTTTCAATTATAGACTGATTTAAGAAAGTAGCAAACCGCTTAAATATTCTTTTTCATCTTACTTTTTTTCCTTTCTAAAATACCAAAGCTATTTTTAAGAGAACTTATAAACTGTAAGAACACAGGAGCAGAAGACAGGATATGCAGCATGGTGCTGGTGTTTTTAAGTAAAAGCATAAAAAAAGGGGACAGAGATTATCTTTTTAAAACGAATAATGCCAAATCCACACTATTAAGCAAAGTATCCAGAATACATAGCAGGCAATACAGATTCACAATTCTGAGAAACAAATAGAAAAGAGCATTTCTGAAAGTGATAAATTCTTTGGTTTTCAGTACCCTTTAGAAAACTTTGCAATTCTAATATATTCACTTCAATGAACTTTCTCATTCAAATCTAAATCACGTTTTACATAACCTACAGACATTTTACATTATTCTTTTAAAGATATTTTAAATAGATTAAATTACAAAGAAAAATAATAAAATAGATTAAATTAGATTAAAATAGATTAAATTACAAAGAAAAATAATAAATATTTGGTCTCTTTTGTAATAAATGTACAGTTGATCAAATGTATACTACATATGACTTCATACTTTCTATAAATAAAGCGTATAAAAAGCACATAGAAAAATACCTTCCCAACTAACTCAGGTGACTAATAAAAAAAATGTTGGGTTCATCAATCATATACATTTATTCCATCAGTAACCTATACATGTCCTCAGAGATATGGAGATCCTTTCATTTTTTTTCTTATTTTAGTTATAACTCACATGACCAAAAGATGAAAAATCGTTTTTAATTCTCTCACGACTATGCTTTCTAGATCCCAACATGTTAAAAACATGTGTTACACATTTACATAGATTTGTTTACATGACAGGACTGTTAACATTTTCTAAAAAGCAAAACAGGGATTCATAGAACTTTCCATGTTTAAAGCCCATTTATCTTCCTATTTGAAGCCTGTACCCTAAATTGCCATATACTTTTCCTTTCACTGATACCTATGGGGCAGGCCGCATGCCAACATTCTACTTAAGCTGCTGGAAAAAATGCTGAAGACCAGAGATGGACAGGGCACCTTACCTGTGTGAGGTCTGGTCACAGCACTCTCATAGAGGGGGATACCTTCACCCACATTGTTAAATGCTTTCAGGGTAATCACATAGTGAGAGCTGGGATCTGAAGGAAAGAAACAAGTGGAAACACTTAAAAAAATTCTCACTACAGAGTTAAAAAAATTCACGGGTGACGATGCATAATCTTAATTGCAAAAAAAGCCAGGAAAGATTTTAAAAATTTTTATGTGGGATTATTCTGGGGGTGGAGAGGTATGGAGATGGCAGCATACAGAGTATATAGAAAAACTGGCTGGGATAAACTTCCGGGAATTAGTCCCAGGAGTCAGGTTGACTGTTCCTGAATCCTCTCTTGGCTTCAGCTAATCAATGGTTTAGTGATGTTACTGTATAGTGAAGAGCTTGGATTAAAATGAATAAATAAGATTTTCATGTGCTGGAAGCCCATAGGTGGAGCTTGGAATTAAACCCCTTTCCTTCTCAGGAGGACAGCAACTGGAACAGCCAAGCTAGACAAGTAGGAGATAAACTGTTAACTCAGTAACTGCTGAAGATCCTTAACTCTCTGGGGTGCCTCCAAATCCAGTAATGCCAACTTACTCTAGCCTTCATGCAGACTTCTTGGTTGGAAAAGACATGGCCCAGAATTTCAACCAGCTAGGAGGTGATGCTGCAGGAAATGTAAGACTGAAAGAAACACTCCTCCAGGTGATCATATAAAATGCTGCTAGTCAGACTTGATGAAAAAGAGGTATTAAATAGTTGGAATAGTATTCATTCTCCTACTGGCTAAGGCAAATCAGGAAGAGTCTACTTTATTACATTCCTGATCCAGACAAGGTTTAGTATGGGTACTTCAAAAGTCTAGCTTCAGAAATGAAGACTTGGGCTCCACTGAAGTGTTGCAGGGGGAGAAGCTGACCCATAACACTCACTACTGGCAAAGTTGGGTAGATTTCCAAAGTTGCCACACCTCAAGTGGCCTGCATTACTTTAAAAGCTGCTTGGTGGCCCATCCTCTAGATACCAGTGAGCAATATATAAAGGCACCTGGTCTTCCAATGTGAGAAAGAATTGACAACAAATGGAACCAACGAGACTTAGTACTTGACTGGGAGGAAAGGGTGCTGATATGGGCAACATGGTGGAAGGTGATGTCATTCACTGAGACCGGGGACAGAGGCAGAGCAACTACGATACACATTTTCCAGACTTGATTCTAGGCCCCCTTCTATTCCTACTCTTCACTCTCTCCTGATGTGCTTTCATTTATTTCCTTGGTTGGATTAGCATGTATGTGCCGTCAAGTGCAAACTAGTCCTGACTTTTCTTCTGAGCACCAGACCTCTATGTTCAACTGTCTATCTGGATTTCCACTTGGATGTCTCAAATCTCTCTCTCTCTCCCCTTTCCCTGCTCCTTCAGCTGCTCCAGTTTTCCCTAGAGTTCATAAATGGCATGACTATGCACCCTGCTGCTCAAGTCAGAAACCTGGGAGTCATTAAGACCTCTCCCTCCTCCCCTACACAAATGATCAAGCCTTGTTGATTATACCTACTTGCCTCTCACCGCTCTGCCTTGCTCCCTGGGCTCCATCCTTACTGGCTATCTCTCAGTTCACTGAGCACTATGTGCTCTCTTACTACTGGGCTGCAACATGTGCAGCTGTCCCTTACACTGGGGACACATGCCACCCTTCTTTACTTAGACAATGCCTATTCATCTGAAAGGGCTCTTCCCAGACTGGATTAGCCTTCTCTAGTTACATAGCCTGTGGCACCTCATTTCTCTTCCTCAGCACTCTAAACAATTTCAATTATTTAGAAATTGTGTTATTTCTAATAATAGGGATCATGTCTGTTTGATTCTTTGCTCTGTCTCTAGCACAGGGTCTGGGGTATTTGCTGATTGATTGAAAGTTTGCAGGAGAAGATACTAATTTTTTTTTTTTTTTTTGCGGTACATGGGCCTCTCACTGTTGTGGCCTCTCCCGTTGCGGAGCACAGGCTCCGGACACGCAGGCTCAGCGGCCATGGCTCACGGGCCCAGCCACTCCGCGGCATGTGGGATCTTCCTGGACCGGGGCACGAACCCAAGTCCCCTGCATCGGCAGGCAGACTCTCAACCACTGCGCCACCAGGGAAGCCCGATACTAATTTTAATTTTGATTAAATTATGATAGAATATGGGACATATCCCAGTGCAAATACCCATCAAGCAGATGTTTATATGGATCTGAAGCTCAGGAGAGAGCTCTTGTGTGAATAAATGAATTCCTAAAAGTATTTCTCAACTGCTGACTTTTGTTCAATATTATATGCATCTTACCTCTATCTGTGATGATAAATACAGCAAGCTTATTTTACTTTATGCAAAATTAATTTTTTGCTACTTCTCAATGTACACTCTCTTAACTAATAAAATCTGTTTACTGTTTTCAGCACATGCAGTGCTCCTTCTCATCTCTTCTTTTCAACCACTGTTCTGACTCGGTCTTTCAAGTACAGGTCAAGCTTCTTCCCTGACTGCTCTACTGTGCCGTACCACCTTTTCCTTCTCTGAACATACTTCACTTCAACTCATCTCATTGTTTCCTGTGTTTTACATTGCTTCTCTGATTAGACTGAAAGCACCTGAAAGTCAAAGACCACGTACTGCCCGCACTGCAGAGGATTTTCATTTCAGTAGTTTCATAAAGGAAACAGTAGGAGTGGGTCACCACAGAGATATTTTTATCCTATCCTATTCTTTTGCTCTCCTACAATTGCCTTATAAGACTGTTCATGTGGGGAACACTTCCTAGGTTAACTGTGCTGTTTCTTCTTGAAAGGAAAAAGAGAAAGGCTACTCTGTTTTTGAATTAAGCATTAGATTGCTGCTTATTTTCTACCAGAAAAGATGAAGGTAAGTAATTTGTTGGACTCCTAAAATTGTCCTTAGGAAAGACATTTACAAAGAAATGATGTGAACAAAAGTTGGTCAGGGAAGATTCTGAATTAAAAGGCAAGTCTTTCAAAGAAAGATCTCAATTATGATATAATCCAATTTGGAAAAGTAATTATATCTACCCAAATCAATTCATTTTCTATTATAAAATATTAACTATATCTCAAAATTTTGGCTTTGTAATTCAACTTTGAGGCATAATTAGTATGAACTAAAATGTACCCATTTAAATGTACACTTTTAATTTTGACAAATATATACACCTGTGTAATCATGACCACAATCAAGATAGAGAATATTTCCAACACTCCAAATAATTCCCTTATGCCCCTTGCAGGAAATTTCCACCACCCCAATTTCCAGGCAACCATTCATCTTGTTGTGTCACTATAAATAAGTGCTGTCCCTTCTGTAATTTCATAAAAATATGATAACACAGTATGTATTCTCTTGTGTTTGGCTTCTTTTGCTCAGCATAATGTTTGTGAGATTTGTTTTGTTGCGTGTATCCATAGCCTATTTCTTCGAATTGCTGAGTAGTATTCTACTGTATGGATATAGTATAATTTACCATTTACTTGTTTACCCCCTTTAGATTATTATAAATAAATATATCATGAACACCTGTGTAGATGTCTATGTGTAGATATGTGTCTTTATTTCTCTTGGTTAACTATCTATGAGTGGGAATGTTGGGTTGTATGGTCAACGTTTTAAGAAACCTCCAAACTGTTTTCTAAAGTGGTTGTACCATCTGATATTCCCACCAGCAACCGTGAGTTCCAGTTCTGCATCCTTGCTGATATCTGGTATTATCAGTCTATTCAATTTTAGCAATTCTAGAGGTTGTGTAGTGATACTGCATCGTGGCTTTATTTGCATTTCTCTGATGATTAATGAAGCTGAGAATCTTTTCATGTGCTTATCATCCATTCATATATTATCTTCTTTGGTGTCCATCCAAATCTTTTGCCTACTTTTTTATTGGATTGTTATCTTCTTATTGAGTTGTTAGAGGTGCTTTTTTTTGTTTGCTTGTTTGTTTTTACATCTTCTAGACTGAAATTCTTTGTCAGGTACTTGAATGATGAGTATTTTCTTCTAGTCTCTAGCTCACCTTTTCATCTTATTGGTGTCTTTCCAAGAAGTTTTAAATCTTGAGGAAGCCTGATTTACTAATTTTTTATTTTTAATTTGTGCTTTTTTGCATCCTAAGAGATCCTTGCTACCCCAAAGTCATGAAGATGTTTTTTCTGTTTTCTACTAGAAGTTTTATAGTTTTAACTGTTGAATTTGGATCTGTTTTTGTGTATGGTATGACATAAGGGTCAATGAAGGTTCTTTTTTCTTTCTCATACAGATATCCAATTATTCCCACACCTTTTGTTGAAAAGACTATCCTCTTCCCACTGAATTACCTCAGTATTTTTTTTTTTTTTTTTTTTTAAGCTCTCCAGATAACTTCCCTGCACAGCAGTTTGAGAACCACTGTTGTGGGGGTTACAGATTCCACCCCT